AAAGTGGATGGCTTCATAACGGCGGGCGGATGGCTTCGTAACGTGCAATGACTTCTCGCCAATTAAGCACGCTGTCTTACTGTCAGCAAAGATCCCTGAGGGTATCCACCTCCTCATGCGAACAAAGGTATGTTGGGCTCCCAGGGGAGCCTGGATTAACCTCTCCACCCTCGTTAAAGTTTTGAGCGTGCTGTGGGAGGATGAGCAAACAAACTGAGGAGACTGGATGAGCCAACATAAAACCAGATAGGAGGTTACGTTTAACTCATAATGCCAAAATTTTTTTTTGAAAAATCTCAAAATGAATTGCTAATAATAACCAAAATGGGAGAAAAAAAACCATAATTCAGTGAAATCAAAAAAAAAGCAAGTATTTCAAAAAAAACCTCTTTGGTGGCATCCTTGAATGTGCTCGGCAGCATATTCGGAAAGAGTTTCAAAAACAACGGCAACGTAAACTCCATAAACGGAATGATAATAAAGGCAGAAAATGGAATTAGCCGCAGAACATCGGAGAGTGTCCGAATAAGCTGCTGCTTCTCGCGACGCATTAACGGCTTTCGTCGCAGAAAACGCCACAAATATTTGGCACTCAACCACATTTCCAAAAAGAGAAGTCGAAAACCGTGGTAATAATGTAAAGCGCCAGCTTTAATTGCCCGTGGCCACCGGATATAAACGGGTTCCAGCGCGACTTGCTGCTTTGCCTTTTCCAGTAACTGCAACAATTTTTCCCCCTTGAAAATAGTGTCAACGTACTGACTGGTGGGGACAGTCCAGCAGCATCACTGGCATGGGATATTGTTGCAAAAGGAAGAAGGAGCGAGTAACAAGGAAGCGAAGTTGGAGGCTCAACCTTCGCCTTGTCCACTGCCCTCCAGTTTCCTGTAATATGCAAATGCCCCGTCTCCTGGCTCGAGTTCCCCCCTCTGTGATATTTAAAGTGATGACTGAAAATGAAATTGTTATTGTAATTGTTTGTTTCGCCGAAAGCTTGGAGCTGCTGTCGGGTGATTTCTGGGGTTCGTTTACTTTTTTTGATTCGTTTAATATTGCACTAATAAAGAAGTGGGTCTAGCTGCTTGGTGTTGCACTTCCCCGCAAGCAGGCACCCCAGCTCCAGCTCCTCCTCGTCCCGAACCTTACAGATACGCACACCAACAACAGTCCGGGTTGTTTTTGTGAAAAAATAAAATAATTGGCATTAAGACTGAATAGTTTGGAGAGCTTGACCAGTCACAGTCTGAATGATCTGAATTACTTTTAATTCAGTCAAATTCGATATTTTACAAAACAAAAAGTCGAGAGCAACGGATATTCACTTGCACGCTTTTTATAACGATCAAAGTCTAATTTTTTGCAGTTCATTTGACGAGTCATTTGAAACACTGCGAGAATTGCAGCTTTTCGAGGCTAAAAAAAGCTCCACAAACTAAACTTCTGATATTTAAAAGCGGTCAAAACAGTGGCGGACAACAACTGTTAATTTGCCCGACAGTGCTAGCCTTGACCGAAAAGGAAAAAACGCAAGCGAAACAAGCGCTTTGCTAGATTTTACCTCTGGAAAATCCTACTGATCCTACTGAAATCCTACTGAAATATGAGTTTCACTTACATATTTAGCACCAAGACGCAATAAGGCACTAGCCATTTAACGCCCAGACGCTATAAGGCACTAGCCCACCTCTTCTTTTTTCCCTTTCTTATCTTGTACACCACATACACACACATATACACACACACACACACACACACTAAACCATCACCTAAATTATCTTTGTTACCACAGTCGATGTACTGACGAGGTCTAATTGTGGTAACGGTAAGAGATGTATACGAATTAACCGATCGAAACATTTCTTACCAATTATATTTTAATACTCGCCCTCCCATTTTCCACTTCGTTCTCCTTCTTTTTTCTCCTTATTTTCTACCTCACCTTTAAATGGAAGACTGACAACTTTCGTGCTAAAGGCAAAGGGTTCGGTTTCGTCAGTGAAAGAGCTACTCTCTGAAGCGTTTTTATGTTTTTCAACGGTAAATTAATTCAGGGAATTAAAAATTGCCATCAGTTTGCTTGTAAAAAAATCCTCAGAAAAAGAAGCCATCGACGTCTTGGCAGCATGTGGGTTGCTACTAGCAGTACGTATAACTATTCGGACTACCTCAAAATACTTTCATCTCTCACAGAATGTGAATAGAGAGCGGAGGGAGAGAAAGGGGGCAAGCAGTGAAAGAGGGGGAGTAGGCAGTCTCGTTCTTGATGAGGTACTACACCTGTTGGATGAAAAAAAAAACCTTTCAACACACCTGTTTTCGTGCCAGGCCTTCTTTTTCCTCCAGTTTTGCCTGCTCTTTCAGCAGTTTCAGTGTCTCCTCCAGTTTACTTTTATCAGACAACAAAAACCGTACGCAGGATGCATGCAAACTACGTCTGGGAGGCACTTCGTAGACTTTGAATTGCAATAAATCAGCTTTCAACCTAAAAACACTGAGTCATACCATTATGGAGAGCCAAAACAGATGTAGCAAATAACTCATCTTCTGACCAACCCCAATGGCCCTATAGAAACGTCTTCCTTTCTTAAAAAGTGCCATTTCGGCCGATGTTAATAAATTGAGTAATATATTTTCGTGTTTTTATGCGTTTCGTGCTGTGTAACAACAGTACAAAACACATATTGTCACGGGGCTGTGTGTGTACGTGTATGTGCGTGCGTGTGTGCGTATGCGTGTGTGTGTGTCCGTCCGAGCGTGCTTTGTTCCGCACTTTCAAATCAGGAACCACAAAAGGTAGGCGGTTGAAAATTTTACCAGTGTTCCTCACCAACGTGACCCCGCAAATCTGAATTCAGCCTTTCCGTACCAGTGAGTAATACGTACAGTTCCGTAAAAGTTTTGGCGGGTAAAATCATAATGTCAGGAACCACGGATGCTAGGCAGCTGAAATTTTATGGGAATGCCTCTTGCCCACGTGCGACTCAGGAAGCTTGAATTTAGTTTTTCCGTGCGTTTGGGAACCGCACACGGCTTCGTGGTAGTTTTGACAAAAAAAATTGTCTCGGGAACCGTGAAAGCTGGGAAGTTGAAAATCCAAGAGGATGTTTTCTGCCAGTGCAGATATTTTACAAACTCAAATTTAGCTTCCAATTATGCAGAGGTCTTACGTACGACCACGTGAAAATCTTGATGTGAAAGTCACTAGCTCGGAAACCGGAAAACTAGAAGGTTGAATTTTGGAAGGATGTTCCCATCCATGTTTTCAAATTCAGTTTTCACGTACGGTATGAGAAATTTTCAGTGCGGAATCCCTCATTTTAGGAGCCAAAAAGCATATCTACTATTTTTCTACATCGAAAGTGTAAAACAGTTATATTTTTAGTAAGCAAACGTTCGCTGTACAAAACTGCGCAAAACGCATGATCGCACCGGCTACCCTGGTGCGCTTCGCTACTTATTTCAAATGAAATTTCTTCGACCACCAAAATACTTATTTTCAAGTAATTGTTTAAACTATCTCAAAGCCCTTTCTTTGCTCTGCAGGTATTACTGTTTTTTCTTCATAACTTCTAATCCAGCTACATTTCCGCACTTAAACTGGGAAGTGCTGAGCTGAGAGAAGCAGACTCTGGTTACTTGTTTTTTTGGTGTGCGCTCCTGACAATC